AGTTGAAGTCCACTCATCTTAAAGTGGCCAAGTTTGGACAACACTGCATTAGGCGAAGACCTAGCTGTCTGGAGAAGGCTCTAATGCTGGCAAAGGTGGAAGAAAAGAGAAGAAGAGGTAGACCAGCAATAAGGTGGATGGATTCAGTTACAGTGGCAATGGGGCACTATCAGAAAACCTGAACAGCCAGGTTAGCAACCAATCGTTTTGGAGAAAATCCATCTATGTGGTTGTTAAAAGTCAGCTATGACTTGATGGTACATAATCAGTTAAAAAACAGTGTCTCAGGAGGGTGGTGAAGACCCTATCACTCCCTTTAAAAGTAAACCCCTAGGACACATCTTGGAAGAAACTACTCCTGAATCCAAGAAGAACTAGTTCCCAAGGAAATCTGACTCCGGCTTTATGCTCCCTCCCTAATCTTCGCGCTAACTACAACCCTATTTCCCCCTTAGAAATCAAAACACATTATGAGACTATTCCAGTTATTCTACCAGCTGGTGAGCAAAACTGATAAGTTAGAAAAGAAAAGAATGGAACCACTCCAGAATGAGATGCCAGTTCAGCAAGTGGAAGCAGCTTGCCAGAACCTGCGCATGCACACACACAAAATCAGGCACACCGGACTAACACAACTGTCAGCACCTTTTTTGTAGGTGCACAGACCAAACCTTTTGCGTCCCGCTCTTCCTCCCCTCGCCAGCCAATCAGAGGCCGCCTGGGTGCTAATTCGGAGCTTGCTGAGAACAGGGAAAGTAGCATTGCGGGAGGAGGAACGTCTGGAAGCAACCAAAGGAGGGCGGATTGGAGACCGGGGTAAGATGATGGTGGCTGGGCTGGAAACTGGGCTGAGAGGGGAAGAGGGGTTTTCTGGAGCAGGAAGAAGGGAAGCTGTGTTCTCCTGGCCCACCTGATTTCCATTCCCATCTTTCCCCACCCATCCCAGCCTTTGGGCATGTTGGCCGAGGATGATGGGGGTTGCTTCCCCAACAGATCTCCCCGTTGGCCAGTGTTACAAGGTCTCAACTTTTTCGCTGACCGTCCGAATGCTAGAGGTGGTTGGGGCTGGGTATGCCAGAAGGCTTTACCTCGGGTGAAAAGAGCGCAGGGGCACGGCTCGTGATCCCTGCGTCTGCCGCGCAGGCTGGAAGGGCTCTTGCTTCCCCCGGGAACCGGCCGCGTCTTGCCTCCTTAATCCGCCCTCAGTTTTAACCGGCGGGACCTCCCTGAGCGGAATGGTGCAGGAGGGTCACCTGCGTGTTTCGGTTTGCTCCGGGCCGAAGGCGCTTTCGACCCAGTTGTCCCCCCCATCCGCTCTTCTGCAGGGACCTCCCATTTCCGCGCGCTGGTGGGAACACACGGCTGCTCGCTTGGTTTCGCAACATGCCCATCCTCACCTCTCGGGCCACCCGGGCACGCCTGGTGCCTTTCCCACGACCGCGTCGCTTCGGATCTTACTCAGCTCCCGCCCGCTCCCCAGGTGCAAAGTACCGCTCCAGCTTCTTATCAGGGTAGCTGATTAGCCCCGGCCCTCGCGCTGACCACCCGCTTTATTGGCCACCCTAATTCAGCCACGCTCCAGATGGCTTCCAACGCGCAAAGGAGCGCGCCGGTCCCAAGAGCCCGGCTTGCGCGTTCGTTCTGACGCGCGGGGTGAGCGCGGCTCCTTGCGGCAATTTTTGTGTCCTTCCGTGATGGCCTCCCTTGGGGGGCGGGGGGGGCAGCCAGGCTGTTGCTCCTGCGCGCTTCCAAAGTTGCGCTGCCTCGGGAGCAAGCTCCGCGGCGCGCAGCGCGCTTGCCTCTCCAAGTCGGCGGCGCCTCCCGCACTCG